ATTAAAAATAAAATACATAGGATGAGATTTAACAAAAGGAGTGCAAGACTTGTATACTGAAAATGACCAAACATTGAAAGAAATTAAAGATCTAAATAAATGGAAAGGCTACCCAGGTTTATGGACCAGAGGACTTAATATTGTAAGACAGATATCCTTCCCAAATTTATCTGCAAATAGAACACAATCTCTATCAAAATCCCAGCTAGATTTTTTTCGTAACTTGAAAAGATAATCCTAAAAATCATATGTAAATGTAAGGAATCCAGTATAGCCAAAAAAGTCTTGAAAAAGAACAAAGTTGGTGGATATGAAAGCTACAGGAATCAAAACAGCATGGTACTAGCATAACAACAGATATCTAGATCAATGGGATAGAATTAAGAGTCCAAACATAACCTTTAATATTTATGGTTGGTTGATTTTTGACAAAGGGCCAAGGCACTTTAATGGGGAAGAGAATACATAGCGTGTACCAAAATATATATACACTCTTTGATTATAAAGTCGGTGTTTATTAACATACAATTTATTTTCAAAATCTAAAATAAACTACAGAAATTAAAATTCTTTTGGTCACTGTCTGTTTTCAAACTGATGACTCTTCTGGTCCAGGCACTGCATGAAGCAATGGAATCGCAAAACATCAACAATCATTTCGTTTGGTATTTGTACGCCCTCAATTTGTCAACTGTTGTTGGTTTTGTACTGTAAACTTTATCTATTATGTATCTCCATAAAAAAGTCTAAATTTTCTTTGTTCAAAGTTTAGTCTGGCTTCACCCATTATTTGAAGTCAGTTAAACCTGAAAAAGAGTGAAAATTAAATGAGTTATCAGCTATTAAAGTATGTAAACATTTTTGGGGGACAGAGGGTGTCCCAAAATAATTATAAAGGCAGTGTTTATACTTCAACTGCGTTTTCAATTTTCCAGTAGTATTTGAGGATGAATTTCCTTTGTTCAAAGCTTAGTATGGCTGAAAAGAAAGAAATATCAATTGAACTATCAGCTACTGAAGTGTGTATATATGAGAATACCCTGTATTATTTTTAAAATAAACTTTTAATTTTAGAACAGTTTTAGATGTACAGAATTATTGTGAGAATAGTTTTTTCAACAAGTGCTTTTGGGACAGCTGGATATCCACATAAGAATAATCTGAATTCCTGTGTTACACCAGAAAAATTACCTTAAAGTGGATCACACACCTAAATGTATTGTAAGAACTAAAACTATAAAACTCTTAGAAGAAAACTCAGATGTAATTCTTTACAACCTTGGGTTAGACAATGGTTTCTCAGACTTGATGCCAAAAGCACAAGTGGTAAAAGAGAACATTGATGAGTTAAACTTTGTCAAAATGAAAAACTTTTCTACTTCAAAGAATACCATAAAGAAAGTGAAATGGTAACCTACATGCAGGGAGATAATATTTATAAAGCATATGTGTTTATATCTGGAATATATAAAGAATCTCTATAACTCAAAAAATTAAGACAATCCAATTTAAAAACAGACAAAGGATTTGAATAGATAATTCAAAGAAGATACACAAATGGCCAACAAGTTCATGAAAAGATGCTCAACATCATTAGTCTTTAGGGAAATGCAAATCAAAGTCAAAATGAGATACCACATCATACCCACTAGGATGTTTAGAATAAAAAAGATAGACAATGATAGTATAGGTGAGGGGAGGGGTCTGGAGGGATGGGTGAAAATATAAAGAGGAGTAAGAGGCACAAAATTCCAGTTACAAAATAAGTAATTCATGGGAATGTAATGTATAGCATAAGGAAAATAGGCCTATCGTAATAACTTTGTAAGGTACAGATGGTTATTAGACCTATTGTGGCGATCACATCACAAGGTATATAAATGTCAAATCACTGTGTTGTATACCTGAAACTAATATAATTTTGTATGTCAACGATACTTTAATAAAAATAATTTTTGGTGAGGATGTGGATAAATCAGAACTCTCACACATCACTAATAGAAATGTAAAATGATGCAGCACTTAGGGAAATAGTTTGTCATTTCCTCAAAATGTTAAATATAGAGTTAGTTACCTTATAATCCAGCAATTATATTCCCAAGAGACATGAACACGTATGTCCTTATAAAAACTTGTACTCAAACATTTGTGGCAATATTATTCATAACTGTCAAAAATGAAAACAACTTCAATGTTTATAAGTCAGTGTATGAATAAACAAAATGTGGCCTATCCACACAATGGAATATTATGTGGGCATAAAGAGGAATGAAATATTGATATCATCTACATAATGGACCTGGATAACATTATGCTAGGTGAAAGTAGCCAGACATAAAAGGCCATATTGTATGAATCCATTTATGTGAAATCTATAGAGACAGAAAGAAAATTAATGTTTCCTTAATGCTGGAGTGGAGGCAAAGGAGGCATGACTGATAATGGGTACAAGGTTTCTTTTGGGGTGATAAAAATGTTCTAAAATTAGATTACAGGTACACAATTCTGTAAATACGTATACTAAAATCCATTGAATGACACATGTTAAATGGGTTAATTTTATGGTGTGCAAATGATATCTTAGCAAATTTTGTGTGTGTTTTTAGTGAATGGGATGGGAAAAATTGGGGGCAGCAAGTATAAACAAGTCTTTCAAGGGATTCCTTGAACTTATAAACATTTTATTTTTATAATTATCAGTATAACTTCATTTTTGTAACCAAGGAGGTGGGTTCTGCAGATGGAGTAGAGGTTAAGGGTGTCATCTCTTACTCCTCTCTGTTCCCAAATCGTCCAGTTCTTTGATTTTCATCCTCTGTTCGAACCAACCCCAGAGCATGCAGTGCAAGGATCTACACTGAGTGGCCAGATTATTATGACCTCTGAATGCATAATAATCTGGCCACTCAGTATATATATATATATATATATATATATATATATATATATATATATATATATATATATAATATATATATATATATGCCTGGTGCATGAATTCGTCCATGGTTGGAGGTCTGGCAACCTGGCCAAGGGGAGGGGACAGGGCAGTTGGCTGGCCTGCCTGTGGTCAAACTCCTGGTCCAAGGGACAACTTGCATATTAGCCTTTTATTATATAGGATATATACTGAGTGGCCAGATTATTATGCGTTCAGAGATCATAATAATCTGGCCACTCAGTGTATGTCTCACTTAAGCTTTCACTCGTCATTTCTTCTCTCCTTTCTTCTTCTCTTCACATTATCCTGGTCCCACAAGAGAGGCTAAAAAAATAATCAGCCTCTGTTCATTTAAAGGAATAAATACTGCCGAAACTGGTTTGGCTCAGTGGATAGAGCGTCGGCCTGTGGACTGAGAGGTCCTGGGTTTGATCTGGTCAAGGGCATGTACCTTGGTTACGGGCACATCCCCAGTGGGGGGGGGGGGGGGGGGGTGCAGGAGGCAGCTGATCGATGTTTCGCACTCATTGGTGTTTCTAACTCTCTATCCCTCTTCCTTCCTCTCTGTAAAAAAATCAATAAAATATATTAATAAAATAAAATAATAAAATAAAAAAAGGAATAGATGCCTGTGTATGTGAAGCAAGCAAGGCCACTGAGCCTTTGCGGAAACCGAGTGGGAGGTGCCCATAGGCATTTTCTGCAGAGAGGGTAGAGAAGAATAAACAAGCTCTTCTGCCAAGAATGCCTGGAACTTAAAGCGCTTCCCTCAGCCCAAGGTCAGGCTGTGTGTGCGTGTTGACAGTGACCCTGGCCAGTTGTTGCTACTCTCTTGATTAAATGGTGGTGAAGTTCTCCCTTCTGAAACTCACCTCTGCCGATCCCCCCTGCTGGGGAGTCTGGCCCCACAGCACAAGTTTAATTCCTCGGAGTGGCAACTAGCAGAGCTCCCAGCACAAGGTGACTGCATCCATTTCCTGAGCGTAGGAGAGGGGTCCTGTGACCAGCCCTCTGCCCCACCGTGGGAAGGAAAGCTATGGCGTGACATTCGTGAGGCCACCAAAAATTCCCCACCCCCTCCCGTAAGAGGCTGGAACTTCCTGGCTTTTCCTAGAAGAATTGTGGAAAAGTACAAACCACAGAATCATAAGCCACAGAGGGAGAAGGTACCTCCGAAGCCAGCGCTCCGTGCCACTGACAGCACACTCCCCCAGGCCCAGCAAGGCGGCTGGGTCCTGGTAGGACGGTGTGAAGGACAGTAACTGCTGTGTCAGGTCCCGTCTTGCTCCCTGTCACTTCCAGCCCCACCCCACACTTTGAAGCCACGTCATTGTTTCGTCTCTCTCTCATTTTCAGGCTTTGAGCGAGCTACCATGTAGTCTTCGGGCTGGCCCCAACCTTGGGCCTTTAGCTGCACAGACCCTCCAGCCACACCTCCGAGGGACTCTGTCCACTGTGCCCTCGACTCCTCATCCACCACAGGCCACCAGACCTGCCTGGCTTTCTGTTCTCATGCTAGCTTCTCACCCCCTCTTGGACCTGAAGACAGACTTGCCCTCCTGTCACTGTGGGTATCCCACCAACCCTCAGGCCCGGTATTGCCTTCTACCCCAGAGAGGTCATCCCTAATTGCTCCACTAGTTTTTGAAGAATTTGGTTTTAAGCCCCATCATTACCTTTCTCCCACCCTCACCTGGACAGGCTGCCCTTGGCCATCCTTCACTCACTCACTCCGGCCACTCAGCACAGTGATGGAGAACACAGGACTGGAGACCAGGCCACCTGGGCTCTGCCGCTCACCAGCTGTGAGGCTTCAGAGACGTGTCTGCGTCTCTCTGAGCACTCACGCTCTCAGCGAGAGAAAGGGAAACGATAGCAGGGTAATAAAAGAAATAATCTTTATGACGTGCTTGGCACGAAAGCTCAAAACATTCACCGTAAGTATTCCATATATGTTCTCTGCTATGTTTTAAAATAATCGTCCATTCACTCATCCTGTACTCACTGGGCCCTGGGATATAAATACCCCTCCTAAAGAGCGGTTCCCTCTTAAATCCAGGAAGTGCCAGCTCACACGGGCACCCAGAGAGCAGAGAGCGGAAGCCCAGGACCTTCGCACACGAGCCGATGAGAATAGATGCTGACCCCTGGGCCCTGCCCGGCGAGGGCGACAAGACCGTCCTCTGCATTGCCACGTCTCCTTTAACACCCTGGCAGCTCCCTGGGTGAGTGAGTGCCCCCAGGAAGGGGGGGAGGTGAGAGTCCCCAGAGAAACGCTCTCTCTCCCTGGCTTCTCTCTGGCAGAGAGCGGCCATGCCCCTGCCACGCAGCAGGGCCACGTCCCTCGGGAGGCCTGGCCGAACTGCCTGGTACTGTTCCGGAAGGAGGAAGGGTGGCCGGGGGGGTGGGGAAGCGGCTGGAATGTTCTAGCCTGCTGCTCAGTACAGCCGAGAGGAGGGCCCTGGACATCAAAGGTTCCTTTTGTCCCCTTCCGAGTGGCAGGGCAGCCCGGCCTCTGGTGATGACTCAGGCCTGGCCCTGACGTCACCCACGCCGGCCACTGGCCTCCCTCTGCAGCCAGGAAACTGCCTGGGGAGTGGCACTCGCAGCTGCAGCAAACCTCAAAATCAGGAGGCACTGCCTCTCTGCTCCCCGCCATCTCCCCACAGCACGCTTTTCTCTTCTCTTTTTATGTATTTCTTAAAGCCTCACGGAAGGTTTTCCTTGTAGATTAGCTTTCAGGACGTGAGGAGTCAGAATGGTTGACATCATGAGAAAACTATGTGGAGCTGATTTCGACGAGGAGTGAAGAACCCAGAGCAAGACAGCGGTTCCCACCCCTGAGCCCAGGGAGCTGGCAGCATCTGGGTTTCAGAAGAGACAGCGCCTCTGAGTAAGTGAAGGCCCACCCGGGCCGCCTCACTCCGGGCCCCTCCCGTGGGCACCGTCACGTGGGTGCCATCTTGTTCCCTGACACCTAAGGCTCAGCAGGCCCAGGCCAGAGGGGTGCGTGGGGGCCCTCCACACACAGCACCGAAGGGACCTGTCTAATCTCCCTCCCCTCCACCGGCCCAGGCAAGGACACATTTCCTCTCAAAAACATTTCTGTACACTAAGACTGAAACCCTGGGGGAAATGGCCCAAGCCGAGCCTTCCCCATCGCCGCTCTTGTTTTGTCTCCTCTTCCTCCTCCCGCCCGCCCGCCCTGGTGCTCTGCGTTGGACTGCCAGAGTTCTGAACCGTTTGCTTCCTGGAGCACATACTGAGTAATCGGATACAAAAATAAACCCTGTTCTAGGCAAATATGTGCCCGTCTAATGATATTCTCGCTCTTGACCTGGTAAACGATGGCAGCTCTGATAAGATGACATCCCCAGCCCGCCGCCTTTACCGAGCGTGTCTCTGTTTGTCCCTGGTTGCCCTGGTGCGGGCACCTCCACGTCACCTCGCCCTGTTTCCACAGAGCTTGTTTTCATTCCTTCTTGTGCCATCTAGGGTGATACAGGACACAAAGACACTATAATGTATCCCTGGAGTCTGTTTTAACTTCACCTGTAAAAACCGTAAGCCTTTGCATGGCCTATAATTTACAAGCTCTGGAAGCTCCTACCCAGGAAAGGTCAGTTCCTGAGGGAAAAGTCTGAATGTGTACAAAAGAACCGCAGAGCACATAGGCGTGGACATCATACCTAGTTTTCCTAGCTTCCAAAAGCATCCCCTCAGTCAGCATCTACCCTTTGTAGAGCTTACCTAGCTCAGTAGAATTGTTCTTTATAAATTCTGTTTTAGCTCTAGACGGTTTGGCTCAGTGGATAGAGTATCAGCCTGCGGATGGAAGGGTCCTGGGTTCGATTCTGGCCAAGGACACATGCCTGGGTTGTGGGCTCGATCCCCAGGAGGCAGTTGATCAATGATTCTTTCTTATCATTGATGTTTCTTTCTCTCCTTCTCCTTCCTCTCTGAAATCAATAGAAAAAATTTTTTTAAAAATAAATTCTGTTTTATAATGATTGGTGTGTGGAGGGTATATTAAAAATGAATCTTATTTTAAAGGCAATGGGGAAGCTTGTTATTTACTGCAAAACTGGTGAATTCCTTTGGAAACTGGCAAATCCCTTTAGGAATTAACCATTACACTCTAAAATATCTGTTTTGTAGATCTTACATTTTACTTTTTGTTTTATTTTAATAGATCAGGTTGTTTTGAAGCGACGCTCTGCTAAACTCCTGTTCATCAGGCTACAAGATCTGAACTCTGTGACCACCAACTTGGTGAGTGTCATTTGTATCTAATGGCTACTTAAAGTAAGTTTACTAATTCAGTTCTTTTGGTTTGCATTGAAATTTAGGGGAAAGGGAGAAGGGATGGGGACTTCTGCACACATGATAACAGCTGAGTATCAAAAAGGTTATGTAGCCATGGCTGGTGTTGCTTGATGGTTAGATCTTTGGCCCGGGCACCAAAGGGTCACAGGTTCAATTCCTGAGCAATTCCTGGGTGGCAGGTTCCATCCCCAATCCAGTCAGGGGCAACCAATCAATGTGTCTCTCTTACATTGATGTTTCTCTCTCACTCTCTCTCTTTCCCCATCCCTCCCTCCCTTCTTCTCTCTCTAAAAATCAATGGGAAAAAATATCCTCTGGTGAAGATTAACAAACAAGCAAACAAACAAAAAAACGAAGAGGAAGAAAATAAAAAGGATATGTAATAATTAGAATAGGCTAATTTTTGTAATAGACCAAAAAATGTTTAATAGCTCTAATAGAAGTTTGTTTCTTTTTTTTCTCTTCTTTTTTTTAATTGTTTAAAGTATTACATATGTCTCCTTTTCCCCCGATTGACCCCTCTTCCCCTGCCACTCTCACCCCCTAGGACAAGCCCCCACCGCCCCAGTGTCCATGTCCATTGGTTATGCTAATATGAGAAGTTTATTTCTTGTTCATGTGACAGTGCAAGTTAGTGGGGCATCTCTCCTTCATACATTCAGAGACAGAGATTGAGAGAGGCCCCACCTTCTTCAGCATGTTGTTTTCAAGGTCATCTGGGACTGTTTCCATTTCCCAGCAGAAGAGGAAGAAAGCATGAAAAGTGCACACGGGAGGTTTTCCTGGGCCGTGCCGGGATGTGATGCACATCACTTCCGCTCACATTCGGTTGACTAAAACGCTATCACATGGCCAGAGCTGACTGCAAATGGGTCTGAGAAATGTAGTCCCTGGGAGGGGGCGGGAGCCACTTCCCAGAGGTGCCCTGGAGAGTTTCTGGAGAGGAGGTAGTCCTCTTTGGCCCAGCATACTACAGAACTTAGAGATTCTCAAGGACAACATAGCAGAATGAAGCAGCGAGAGAAGTAAAAAATAACCAGATATTTAGAATTCCTTTAACTGACGCTCTTAGGTAACATCTGGCTACGTGGACAAAGAGCAGTGGGTAAGATCTTTGAAGATGCCCCTGTCCATTCTGACCCTGAGTCTTTCCATGAGTGCCATCATGTCACCAGTGGGCAGTGAGCCAGGAAGGACATTCTTCCCCTTATTTTCCTGTACAGGGTCCCCTAGGGGTAGGGTCATTCTGGCTTTGTCCCCTGATCCTGGGTCTAGTAGTCATGCTAATTGGAATTGTCCAACAGAATTCTGTTCCCCCAACTAGGAAACCAGTGGACTCTAGGAAAGCTCATGGTTTCTTTACCTTTCTGGTATGGTCTGACTGCCCCTAGGAGCTCAGGAAGCTACTCTGACTGACTTATCTGTTCCAGATCTTGGTACACTTTTAAATGTTGGCATGGGGAGGGGGTGTGTGGAGACAGAGAGAGAGGGAATCCCTAAGATCGGATCTCCAAACCAAGTTGTGAGAGAAACATTTAAAAGTAGATCAGCCGAAACCTGTTTGGCTCAGTGGATAGAGCGTCGGCCTGCGGACTGAGGGGTCCCAGGTTCGATTCCGGTCAAGGGCATGTACATTAGTTTCGGGCACATCCTGAGGGGGGGGGGGGGGGTCGCTCGAGGGGGCGGCCGTGCAAGAGGAAGCTGATCGATGATTCTCTCTCATCGATGTTTCTAACTCTCTATTCCTCTCTCTTCCTCTCTGTAAAAAAATCAATAAAATATATTTTAAAAAAAAATAAAAGTAGATCAGAAAGGCTCAAGCTGGAGAGATTATTGCTACCCTATAATTCTAGTTTTTTTCTTTTCAGAACAAAGTTTGAAATATTTACTGAAACAATGAATGATAAAGTTATAAGTCCTGTTTGGAGAATCCTGAAACTGATTTTATATTTTATTTAGCCTTTCCACCATTGTGAGTCTTCGTGCAGTATTCCCCTCACTGGTAAATACTACACGGAGGATGCCTTCTGATGCCCCTAAGGCAGTGGTCAGCCAACCGCAGCTCACAAGCCACATGCGGCTCTTTGGCCCCTTGTGTGTGGCTCTTTCACAAAAGGCCACATGTGGGTGTGCACGTACAGTGTGACTGAAACTTTGTGGCCCATGCACAGAGGTCGGTTTTCGGCCTGGCCGAGTCTATTTTAAAGAAGTGGCGTGAGAACACTCAAGGGGCCAAAGAGCTGCATGTGGCTCGCAAGCCATGGTTTGCCAACCACTGCCCTAAGGCACCATAAATATCTGCAATAAAAATGGACTATATATGCTTTCTTCAGCAGCACATAAACTAAAAGTGGACAAGAGGCTTTGCCTGAGCTATTTGGTACCTAGTTCTCCAGTTATGTTGTCAATATCTGGCTAGACACTCCGGTTTCTGATTTAATTTCACCCTGGGCTGGATATCTCTGGCACCCACACCCACACCCTGAAGAATACACATTGTCCATGTGCAGGAAGACCAGCTACTGCTGATGTGACACAGCCTCTCAGGAGTCTAATGTCTGATCTCCTATTACTGCTGCCTGGCCTTAGCCGAGGCCCTGTCCCCCTGCCTTCCAACCGGGCCTTCCACCCGGAGTGGGCTGAGGAGGAGTGGAACAGAATAACAAGTTGAAGTGTTACAGAAATGCTACAACCTCTGAAAGTCCATTTTCTGGGTCCTGAACATGTCTACTGAGCTAGAGCTGGCTGGGCTAGTGGGGTAAAGCTAAAGATAAGACCAGGTTGATGGGGGAATGCAATGCCTGCTGGATGGATTCAGCCAAAGGAGTAAGTTGAGAACAAGGGCCAGGTTTCAAAAGCTGGAGCCAAGTGGGGACGATCTGTTGTTGAAAGTCCCAGCCTAACGGGGTCCACCAGGAAAGGCAGGGCCAAAGGCCACAGTCAAGGAGGAAGAGCGTCAGGGTCCATTCAGCTTGTTCATTTCAACGCCATGTGATCATGACTCTTCCAAGCACTCAATACGCAGGGATTGACCGAGGCGTGTGTGTCAGGTGCAGGCAGGGTGAGGTCAACCTCCTGATTTCTAATGTTCTGCTGAATGGCATGGCAGGGAGAGGTATGCGACCGCCAAATCAGACTTCCACTGCTGTCAACATGACCCCTCCGCAGTGTTCGTACAGACTCACCAGCAAGGCCGGGGTATCAGATACCCGCGTTGTAAATATTTGGGTCTTCCACATTTTCAAAAAAGCGTCAACGTAGACACCATGGGAGAAGCTAGATTTTCTTGAGCTTTTAAAATTTTCATTTCATTATTTTTAACCTTTAAATTCCACATGAGGAGTAGAGTTCAAATTTGAGGCACCATTGTCTTTTCAGAACCTTGGTCATCCAAGGGGCTTAGCCTGCAGTCGTTGATTCACGATGAGCAGATGTGGACTGAGCGTAGCAGCTAACATAGGCCGTGCCCACAGACCAGTTGGGTTTTTTTTGTTTGTTTTTTTACCCCCAGAGGTTTTATAGTTTTTATGGCACACAAGTACAAGCTCCCTTCTTTCCCTGGGTCAGCATATAAATCTTCTGTTGCTCCTTTTAGAGAATTTTGCAATAAGGCCACATCATAGTCCTCAAAACTAAGAATTCATGGTAATAGGGCTTCGTAATGTCTCATGCTGAAATCCCCTGATTTCTTGTCAAGAACTCAGTAGGAAAACACCACACAAAGATTTCAGGGTTTTGTTTTTAACTCAAAAAATTGTCTGGTTTTCATGAGAAATTTAAAGCTTCCTTCCGCCTCTGAAATGGTATTTTTTAAAAATGTAAAACTGAGATTCTGTCAGAGTAAGTAAGGTAATAAATGTGAAACGGTGTGGGCAACTTAGAAAAATGCATGGCAAGTCAAGACATTAATGAAATTAATTATCGTAATTATGGTCAGCATTGGTGTTTTGGCTTTTGATATTGCTATTAGTATTGTAAGTATCATTATTTTAATTTTTTTGTTTTGGTCTTTTTAAATTGACTTTCATCTGAGATCTTTGGCACCGTTCCCTAGCTCACCAAAGCATGCGGTGTGGAAAGGTTTGACTCTAGGCCAGAGGCCTAACTGCAAGACTTCTTATCAGAGAGAGTTCTGACCGGGATTCACTGAAATCTGTGAGGAGGATATCTCTCTGCCAAAAACATTTGTGTCCTGGCATTTTCCTGGAGTTCCCAGTGCATTGGCCAAAGGAAGCTTTGAGATCACCCTATAAGCATTGACCCGGGGTGGTGTGTCTCATGTCAGAAAGGAGCCCACCATCTATCCAAAGCCTGTAGTCATGACAGTCTTGGTGTTATGGGGTAAAGGTGTGTATCAGGCGGGGGGATTAGACACAGAGGCAGCAAGCATGAATTCAACCAAAGAGTAGTGAAGACATCATTTCAGCTGTGTCCCAGACCCTATAATCTGTTATCCTTGAATGTAGCAGAAAGAAGTATCCAGTGAAAACGACTTTCTCTGTGACCCAAATTCCTGGGCATCGACTATACCAAATTACCTTGGAAAAGAGAATGTAGCTCAAAATTCACTCCAGACACTGGACTCAGACTGTCCGTCATGTGAGTCCTCCTCAGCAGCCAGGCTATAGCTGGCCTGGACTCCTAAGAGACCTCTCTTCCCTCTGTTTTCATTCTACATGAGACAAATTCTTTTGTCTTTTCTTTTTTTAAAAAATTTATCCCTGTGTTTCAAATAAAAAGAGCCATGACTAACCACTACACAAAATCTGGAAAATACAGAAAAATATTGAGAAGAAAACCACCACCAAACAACAAACAAATCATTGTTGACATTTCAGTGTATTTCTTTCCAATTTTTCATATATATTTTTTTCTTCTTTTAAAATTATTGAAATGATATTTTACATGCTTTTTCTCACTCCACTTCACTGGTATGTCGTAAACAT